GGGGCGGCGGGGCCGGGCCGCCATCCCACCCCCCCCTTCCCGCACCCCGGTGGGACCGCACCGGGCACAGCCGGCCCCGACGGACGGGGCGTCCCGCCGGGAGTGCAGCACCCCCGGGTCCGGCCCCGGCCGTCCCCTCTACGCCCCCCCAGAGCCGGGCCCTGGACGGATTCCCCGTGGTTTTGCCCCAGGGAGAGTGCGGGGTTTGGGAGCGGGGTCCCGCTGGGCCTCGAGCGGGGACGTCCCGGGGGAAGGTGCCCGGTCTGGGCCGGGGAAGGGGCTCGTCGGTCCCGTCAGGGTCTCCCGCTCCCCTCAGGGTGGGCTTGTTCCCCTGCTGAAGGCTGGGATGGTGTCAAGGGGCTCCTGCAGGGTGGTGCGGGGACACCAACAGCCCCCCCGTGTCCCCCGTCCCTTGTGTCCCCCCTCTCAGCACACACACTGCCGTCCCCAGCGCGGCTCCGTGTTACATTTCAGCGGGTGAACATTCTCCTTGGAGCAACTGGAGTCACTTCTCCGCTCCCCTGACATTTACATTTGCCACTTCTTTGGCACTACGTGAAGACTTGTCCCTGGCTTTTGTTTTTTTGCCCCAAAAGCTGCCAGTTTTCCCCCCTTTCTGACTCCAGGCTGCAGCAAAACTGCTGTGGAGTGTTTCAGAGGAACAGCCCGAGCCTTGTGGCTCCTCTGGGCTTGTCATTAGTGATGGAAGCTGCGCGGCGGTGAGGAGGGCTGAGACACCGCGACGGCGCAGGAGCCCATTAGCACCAGTTCGACCAGTGCTTGTGTGTGGGCACCGAATAAATCGCTCCGCTGGAAGCTCTGATTCACCCTCCTGAGAGTTTTAATTCCGCCTCTGAGGTCAGAGCTTTGGACCGAAAAAGCAGCGTTAGCGTTTTTTTCGGTGCCAGCTCCTGGCAGTGCCCCGTGCGTTGGGGTGATTGTCCCTGCACCCTGCAGACACCGGCCGGTGCCACCACGCCGCCAGCAAATTACTTCCTTCTGCATTTACCCGCCCTGCTGAGGAGCAGCGGTGTTAAAAGCAGGAGGGGAGGAGCGGTGGGGCACGCGGGGGGCTTCGACGTGGCTTCGGGCCCAGGGTGGGCTCTGTCCCTGTCACTGACCAGGGCTCTCCTCTTCTCCCCACAGATAATCCGCGTGCAGTCGCCCGAGGGAGTGAAGCGCATCACGGCCACCAAGAGAGAAACGGTGGCGACGTTCCTCAAGAAGGTAACCCCAGCCCCTTGGCGCCGTCCCCCCCCTGCTCATGGCAGACACGGGTGTCACCTCACTGGGCGGACGCACCGATGGCAGCGAGGATCAGCACACTGTGTGGAAAATGGTGTTTTTATCAGTGTAGCCAAAACCGGTTTTCTCGTTGCCATTCCAAAGGGAGAATAGCAACATTTAAGGAGAAAACTGACTCAGCTTTTCAGTTGGAGTTTCCTGGGGTGGGAGCTTTCCTGGGGGAGGAGGAGGTTTTAGTGTTCTCCTGAAGCACCAGCAGCTGGGGAAGCAGAGGCTGACAACGCCATAGGAAAGCTGGTTGATGGTTGAAGCCTGCTGGGAGGGACTGGCCTCTTCAGGCGTGATCCAGTTGAGACTCAGCTGCTTGATTTGCATCTTGAATATCATTTGGATGTGCTCTGTCTGCCACTGGTTTTCCGCTGTGGTTTTGGAGAGAGCAAGGAAGGAATTAAGGCGAAGTCTTAAGGTGATGTGAGAGCCTTCGGGGTCTCCTGGGAAAGATTTCTACCCTGGGATGAGGGGAACACACTGAGCGGGGGAGCTGTCAGGTTTGGCTGTAGCTTGTTCTTTTGTCCGATGCAACTGCTCAGTATTTAATGTTTCCTATTTAAAAGTGAGCAGTTTCTCCTTTTCCTTCCCTTCTGGAACTCTGCTGTAACCTGGAACCCTCAGATTAGGATTTCTTTGCTTCATAAGAGGAGTACTTTGTGTTCCTTTGCCTGAAGGGCCATTCTTTAGTCAGCTAGATTTCCTTTCCCCCTGCGAGGGGGAAGAGGAGCAGCCCGAAACCTTCTGCTGTTTGTGAGTCATTGGCTTTGTTGGAAGCTTGAGCCCAGACCACAGCAATCCCCATCAGACCGATTTCGGGGCTGGGTCAGAGACACTCTCTGCAGTCTCTGAGCAGTCTCACCTCAGGGAAAAAGCATTGATTTCAAAAAATATATTAAAAAGAAAAAAAAAAAAAAAAAGAAGTCTCTGGAACCTGTGCAAAAGGAGCTGCTCAGTTTCAAGGGTTCATATTACCCGAGGCGACGTGGAACAATCCTGCTTGTACCACTGCCCGGCAGAACAAAAGCACCAGCACTCACTGAAATTGCCTGTCGATCTGGGGAAAGCTGGATCCTCTTGCTGAGCTGAGCACAAGAAATGTTTGGGGTTTCTTTCCTAATATAGGGCTGAGTTGAAAGAGGGAAGTTGCAAATTTTACCACCGAAGATCTGTGCGTATTAATAGCCGTGGGTTTTAATGCTGAAATGTTAATCCATATGGTGGGTTTTGTGTTTAGCTCCATAGCTGGAATTAAACAGGCATCAGATTGCTGCTTCTATGCTAGCAATTAACTTAGACCTCCTCCTCGATCATAGAATTGTCTGGGTTGGAAGGGACCTTTAAGATCCTCTAGTCCAACCATCAACCTAACTCTGATAAAACCCATCACTAACCCATGTCTCTAAGCTCTGTGTCAACCCGGCTTTTAAACACCTCCAGGGATGGTGCCTCAACCCCTTCCCTGGGCAGCCCATTCCAAGGCTTAAGAACCCTTTCTGTGTCAAAACTTTTCCTAATATCCAACCTGAACCTCCCCTGGTGCAACTTGAGGCCGTTTCCTCTTGTCCCATCGCCTGTGACTTGGGAGAAGAGACCGACCCCCCCCCGGCTACACCCTCCTTTCAGGGAGTTGGAGAGAGCGAGAAGGTCTCCCCTCAGCCTCCTTTTCTCCAGGCTGAACACCCCCAGCTCCCTCAGCCTCTCCTCATCAGACTTGTGCTCCAGACCCCTCACCAGCTCCGTTGCCCTTCTCTGGACCCGCTCCAACCCTTCAAGGTCTTTTTTGTGGTGAGGGGCCCAAAACCGGACACAGCCCTCGAGGTGGGGCCTCACCAGTGCCCAGTCCAGGGGAGTGATCACCTCCTGAGTCTTACTCACTGATGACTTCAGAGAAGCTGCAAAAGTGTGCAAGAAAGTGCATTTCAGAGCAATAAGGGTCTCAAAAATCTGCCTTTTGTAGCACATCCTCAGGAAGGATGCTAACAGTAAACGCTGGGGTGCGGTCAGGTGAGAAATGAGTTAGCAACTAACTCAAGGCTTTTGTTTAATGTATTTTGGAATTTCCCTCCCCATTCTCCCCCCCAAAAAAAAACCATTGGTGAGGTCTGTGGCCTGACGAGCCGAAGTTTGACTCTGGCAGGTGGAAAGTTAATGCAGGAGAAGTTTGGAAATCATGATTCCACTCAAACAGCAGATGACAAATGGCAGCAAAGGTGACGATAGAGAAACTGCTTCCCGTGGCTTTGCTCGTGGGACAGCTCTGTGTGTGGCTCGTTGGATTTGTCCCTTGAGCAGTCACTGTCCTCGAGTCCTACCAAAGCCTCAGGGAGATGTACTTATTTAAAAAAAAAAAGACTATTAACAAGAATTTAGGAAGAAACTTGTCACCTAGAGAAATTTTTAGCGTCGCTTTTAAACTGATTGTGTTTTTAAGTGGCCAAATGTGAAAATTGCTGTTGCTGTGAAAGGGCGTTTGACTGATTCAGAGTAAAGCAGCCTTAAAACTGAACTGGTGTGAGGAGGAGCAGAGACAAAAATCTGCCTGGGGACCTGGAGGTGGCTGTTGTGAGGGGAAGTTCTCAGAGGTGAAGACCTGGAGCGAGGAATTCTGCTCGTAGGGAGACGGGAATGACGTGGCTGGTGTGAGCCAGAGAATTGGGATCATGGAGAGGAAAGTTTCCCTCCTTTTGTCGTGACAGCTCTTGCCTGGATTTAGATAAAATACTGCATTTATATTGTGTGAGTGAGAGACACGTTGTGTTTAACTTGCTTTTTTTAATTGCCCGTGTTACTAAGTGGTTCTATTTTTCTCCGTTTTCCTGCGCTCTTCAGAGACGCAGATGAATTCTGCTAAATTTTTGCAATAGAAGTTCCCTGGATTTCCTGCTTGCTCTGAGCAGCTTTCAGCGTCTGACTGGGGGTGTGAGGTTTCTTAAACCTTGTCATTCTTCTCTCTCTTCTTTCAGGTTGCAAAAGAATTTGGTTTCACGAATAATGGGTTTTCTGTCTACACCAATAGAAACAGGACGGGAGAGATCACGGCCTCGCAAAACAAATCCCTCAACTTACTGAAAATCAAGTGAGTCCTGACCGAGCGGGCTGGGGGACAAAGGGGGGTGTCTTTGTACAATGAGGTGTCTCTTCCCTGGGCTGGCCTGGACTCTTCCCTCCCAGCTGGCCAGCAGAAGGCAACCTTGGCTTTCAGCTGATGGGAAGGGGCAAGCTTGACTGCCGTGCCGAAATGGGGGCGATCAAAATGAGTACGTGCCAGGCTGTGACAACCATCTCTTTGGTCACTTCTTGCCTTGTGTTTGCTCGTTGCTCTGAGGCAGCAAAAGGCCTCCTGGTTGCTCGTTTCCAGCCCCTGGCAAACGCCCTCATCCCTGCTCTCACTCACACCAGCCTTTTTTTTCCTGCATCAGTGCCTGAGTCTGGTAGTCCCCTGAGCAGAAGCCAGGGTTCCTGCCTTCTGTAGCCGGGCACCGAGGGAGATCAGAGGTGCCAAATGCTGCAGCCTCTTCACGTTGGGTTGGGAACGTCTCCGTTCTGTTCACGTCAAGAATAATGTTAAACTGGTTAAAAATACAAGAGCTGTTACCACTGCGGGCAATGTGTCGCTTGAATGTGTCAGCGCTGGCAGCTGCCTCGGGAAAGCTGTGACTGGAGGGATCCGCGCTGGTCCTTTTCCCTGCTGGAGCTGTTGCTTCTCTCCAAAGGCTCCTTTTGCCTTTTTCTTCACCTTTTTTTCCCCTCTTGATGAAAAGATTTGTTGTGCAAATGACCCAAGCAGCAGTAAGAGGTGGCTACTGGAATGGCTGCAGAGGGCCACGTTTGCTAGTCTGTGTGTAGTCTGTGCTAAATGACACGTTCCTCCATGGTCGGGGAGGTTTGCTGCCCAGGAGCAGCTCCTGATGCTCTTGTGTTGTGTTTCCCCACCCGCAGGCACGGAGATATGCTGTTTCTCTACCCCTCGAGCCCAGCTGGCTCCTCCTCAGAGATCATGGACACCTCTGTCTCCCAAAGTTTGCGGCCTGTGGGGGCCCCCCAGGTGGTGGAAGATGAGATCGACCAGTATCTGAGCAAACAGGATGGGAAGATTTACCGAAACCGAGACCCACAGCTGTAAGTACGGGTGGATTTTGTTTCTGCCGACGCATCTGTGGCCTCACCAAAGCTCCTCTAACATCTTGTCTGAAACCAGCAGCCAGGAAACGTGCTGTGGGAACTGCCCCCCGAGCCACTGCTCCATCCCTCGCTCCCTTTGAAACGTTCACAAGGGAAAACAACCCTTGCCATTGTCCTGGAAGGTTAAATCAAGCTCTGGTGAGGCCAGGAAGGAAGCAGATACCAAAATCCCAGGGTCTTTGCCAGGAAGGACTCACTCAGAGCATCTATTGTTCTGATCAAGGTGGCCCCTGCTATGGGACTTGGGAGTGTGTGTTTTGTGCTCCTTTAAAAACATTTGGAGCTCTCTAGATTAAAATGAATACTTTGAATTCTTCCCCGGGATGTCCTGGCAGCTGGCGCTGTGCAGAAATATTCGGTTGTGCTCCGTGTGTGGCATGTTGCTTAATAAGCAGGAGCCTGCTGTCTGCAGGAGCTTCTGTTCCATATGGTCCCAATATGTTGCTCCTCGTCCTTGGGGTCCCGAGGTGACGGGGTGGCAGGGCCAGGTCTTGAGTTGAGCCCAAGCTGCTGCCTCAGCATCACCCAGCCACGGTGGGTGAGCCTCGAGGGTGGATTTGTTTTCTAAATCGTGGAGATCCGAGCTCTGACACCTTTCCCAGCCACCTGGGCAGTGCCAGCTCAACCCTGCGTCACCGTCCTCGGCACTGGGGTGGCTGCATGTGGCACCTCACCCAGGATGTCCCTTCTGTGTCCTCAGATCCCACTGTTCCTCCTAAAGGAAAAACACAGAAGGGAAGGGAACGAGTGGAATTATCCAACGTGGAAGCGGGACTTGGGTCTCTGCCTGCTTCGTTTTTGGCTTCCTCTCCATCACGTGCCTTTCTCTGAACCCGGGGAGTCCATTTGCCTCACAGAAATGCAACAAAGCCCAGCTTTGCCAAAACTTTTAGCTGCAAGAGGCTTAGGTAAACAAAGCAGCTTGTACTTTCTGTAAAAAAATAATAATACCACCGTAAATCTGCACTGGTGCTGCTAAAACATCCTCTGTCTGGATGGTTGGGTTTTTTTTTTAATTGCTCATCATTAACGACGTCCCAGTTGGCTCCTGGCCTGGGGTCTGTACTGGTTGTTAGCTTGGGGCTGGACCCCTCTGCAAAAAAACTTCTGAAAGGGTGGGAGTGAAAATTTTAAAGGCAATCAGGAATTCCTGCTCCGAGAGAAGAGCTGGCCCTGCCCCGTTGTGTTGTCTTCCCTGTGGTTTATCTTTAGCGCCGCAGCTCCCGAGGAAGTTTGGAGAGAGGTAGCCTTTACGTGGAAAATCCTATCTAACCTTTTCAGGCTGAGGAGAAACGAGGGAAATGGCACATTATTGAAACAATAAAGGCAAAACCCACCACTCCACGGCAAAAAACATTGTCTTTAACTCCACCACATTTTTCAAAAGAATAAATGAAGGTATTGTTCCTAGCAGGGAGCCAGAGCGCAGCGGTGGATATTTATGATAAAAAGAGTGTGTCTGGGCTTGTTCCTGTGTTTGTGAGTAGCAATCTGAAGGCAGAGGGATGCTGGGCTGAGTGCATTAGCAGCCCTTTCTGTACATTATCTCCACGATACTTGGTTAAAAGCGAGGCTGCAACTGGATCCCATCCATTTTTGTCTTTGCAAGAGCCAACGTCCAGGCTCCTCTCTAGAGGCTTTCCTTTGAAATCTCGCTCTGACCAAGTGCTGGGGCAAAGGGTGTGGAGGGATTTTTTTGTTGTTGTTGGTTTGGGTTGTTTTTTTTTTAAAGCCATGGCCTCAAAAGGAGACGTTTCCCCCTCTGTTTTGTAACTTTACCCAGCAGGTCTTTATCTGCCCGATAAACACGTCCTTCCCTGGTTGTTCCAGACCGTCCTCCAGCGCCTGATAAAGGATGAATACTTTGGTTGTCTTTTTTGTTCAAACCACCCAGGGCAGCCTTACCACGGCCATTTCAAATTCTTTGGGTTGAAAGGCAACCACAGCTCAGGGTTGTAAAACCCGAGAAGCTGTGACCTGACGTGGGTTCATGTGGCCATTTGGGGAGCGGAGCCGCTTGCCAGGGCCACGGGCATCAGGAGGGTTTGGTCTTGACCCAGGACGACTCTCAGGTTTAACCTGAAGCTGTTGCTGCCTCTTTATGTGAAATTATCTTGCGGTGACCCCTCTGTAATATTCCCTGGTGGGTGGGGAGTCGCTCAGAGCCGTACGATTGCACAGATCTTCTGCCTCAAAACTCTAGAGCAACTTTTACAGTCTGAATTCTCCGTTATTAAATAAGGTTTGTCACTACTTTTCTTTCTCTTTGCACAGGTGTCGCCACGGCCCCTTGGGTAAATGTGTGCACTGCGTTCCCCTGGAGGTAAGAGCCCCGAAAAAGTGCTCTTGGAAGTCACACAGAAGCACATCCTCTTGGATTTGGGTTCTTCTAGTATGAACCATTCCCTCAGGGTGCTGCCCACGTAGAGACAGCAGCTCTGGGTCAGAATCCTGCCAGGCACCAGCATCCAGGACTGCTAAAGCTCTGAGCCTTCGTGACCCTGGGTTTATTCAGTTAACACTCTGGTTTTCTGTAGTAAAGGGTTTAACAGAAAGTGCTTTAGAAAAGCTCCAGTTTTCCTCCCTCTTCACTCTTGCCTGGATCTTCTCGTTTCATCCCCTCTCTCATGGATCCCAGCGCTTCCCAGTTGAACCACAAATTATTCAGGTCGAAGGCAGCTTTAGTAACGCCTACAAATGTGCTAAGCTAAATAATTTATGGCACGAAGCAGTGATCCCTCAGAAGTCGCTGCGAGCCAGGATGGCTGTTCCCCTGCTCCCTGCCGTGTGCTCTGGAAGTTCTTTGGCCGCGTTTGAGCAGCTGGGCTTTTTTTTTTGTTTGGTGTGAAGATATTGAAAGGGAAAAGCATGTTGCCTTTGAGGCTCGTTGTGATTTGTGGAGCCAATCTGTTGTAAAGGTGGGAGGCGATAATAAAAGGCGCCGTTGTACGGCCCCGCTGTTCCTAGCGCGGTAGTAGCTGCCTTGAAAATGAGCCTAAATTTTCTTGATTGTTTCCACATTGGGAGCCGGTGGGGTTGACTCTAGAACATCCATTTGTTTAGTGATGGATGTATTATCAGACAGGTGTCTGACCTGGCTTTTCTTTTTGTGTGGTGTTTTTTGGCAGCCTTTTGATGAGGATTATTTAAACCATCTGGACCCTCCTGTGAAGCATATGTCGTTCCATGCCTACATCAGGAAGCTGACCGGAGGGGCAGACAAGTAAGAAAATCCGTGTTTTAAGGGAATCTACTTGGAGCTTCTCTTTGTTAAAATACAAATGAAAGTACAGAGGGGTCTCACTGGAGTAGGGTTGGGTGCAGCTGTTAAATGGCGAACTGAGGAGAAAAACAACATGGTAAAAAAAAAAAAAAAAAGAAAAAGAAAAAAAGGCAGGAGAAAAAAATGAAATTAAATCTGTCTCTTTCCATTTCCCTTTCGCAACGTAACTGCTTCCAGGAAGCACTACTGATGGAATGAGAGGGCCAGATGGAAGGAAAGAGGTTCCCTAATTACACCAAGCTCTCCAGCCTCGCAGAGAGACACTGGGACCGTGGTGGACCTGGGGAGCTTTGATTCACAAGTGGCTTTTCTTACCCAGAGACATGAACAGGACAGAAGGACAAGCCTAACATTCCTCAGGGCCTGATTCTGCTCTGTCCCGTGCTCTGTGTGTCCTTAGTGAACCCCTTTTTTGCCCCGGGGCTGTAGTTCACCCCCATTAACTGGGAAATGGGGTGTCCTGCCCCGTGCTGGGGCGGAGGATGCTGCACTGGCTCAGGCCAGACGAGTCCTGACCAGAGGGGAAGCACTCCAAGAAGTATTTATTTCTTTATTCCTCGCTGGGATGCACGTGCACAGCGAAGGATCTAAAGTCCCCTTCGGTGCTGTTGGGGAACCCACTGCATTCTGAAATGCAGCTCCTCTGAATAAGTTACAGAGGTGTCACCTTCTCCCTCCTGTTCCTAAATGCCAGTGGGATTTTTTTTAACGTTGTCATGAGATGCATCTCAATTCTGTCGTACTTTGGTTTGAAGGGAACTTCTCTTCACAGGAAGCCTTGTGCACGTGAAAGGGTCTCTCGTTTGTCCTGGTGGTATCATCTGTTGCTTCCCAGGTGCTGTGTAAATTATTTAAGCAGGGCCCCATGAGTTTTCTGATTCTTGCTCGATTTATCTGCCTCAGAGCTGAGTTGGGGACCACATCTCGGGGTGGTCCCTCACAAAGTGGGCAGCAGAGGTTACTGGGAGCATCCCCCTCCTTGGGAGTTTGCTTTGAGACCCTCTGGAGATGCAAAGCGTTGGTGCCACCCTCTCTCCTCTGCCCTCTGATCTTTCCAGCCACTTTGAGAAGCGTTTACTGTGGTAACAGCAGCCTTCTCTTTTCTTTCTTGCAGGGGGAAATTTGTTGCCCTGGAAAACATCAGCTGCAAGATCAAATCGGGCTGCGAAGGGCACCCTCCGTGGCCAGAAGGCATCTGCACAAAGTGCCAGCCGAGTGCCATCACCCTCAACAGACAGGTGAGCCGGAGCTCGGGGGAGCCCTCGTGCTTCCAGCTGAGAGAGAAGGGACTTGGCTTTTATTTTTGGAGAGATGACTTCAAGAACGGCCAACTTGGAGCAAGAAGCCTTTGCGTATTGGCAGTTCTGGGGGAAATGGCTGTTAAGGTCGTCAGTCCTTGCAGGAAAGGACTCCAAAATGTATCTGCTTCAGCAGTTTCCTCCTAACGTGGAGGCCATCTGAGCTGGCACCGCTAGCGATGAGTCCCCACTCTTGCTCCTCAGGGGATCCAAATGGCCACTCGCTGTTTCTTCTTGTTTCCTCTTAAATTCCACTGCCTTTTTCTCACTGCAAAGGCTCTTGGGGTTAAGGGCCCTGCCAAAGAAGCCGAGCTAATGGGGTGCTCAGCCCTTCCCCACGCTCCAGCCTGTGGTGGGTTCTTTGTGGTGGGTTTGAGCAGTGCTGGAGGCAGCAGACGCTGGGGGTGCTCAGCCCTTCCCCACACTCCAGCCTGTGGTGGGTTCTTTGTGGTGGGTTTGAGCAGTGCTGGAGGCAGCAGAGGGAGAGGGAGGGACCTGTCCTTGTCCCTGTCCCTGTCCCTGCTCCGGCAGGATTTTGCTGTGAGGGGTGACGTGTCCCAGCAGCGGGGAGTCTCTGGGGACGGCGACGGGCAAAGGGGACGGAGCCAGTGGAGGATGGCCTGACGCTTGAACTTTGTCAAACAGAAATACAGGCATGTTGACAACATCATGTTTGAGAACCACACAATTGCAGATCGCTTCCTCGACTTCTGGCGGAAGACAGGAAACCAACACCTCGGGTACCTGTACGGCCGGTACACCGAGCACAAGGACATCCCTCTGGGCATCCGGGCGGAGGTCGCTGCCATCTACGAACCCCCCCAGGTAAAAGCTGGATGCTCTGGCATCAGTGTCAACTCATAAAAATAATGGGGAAACAGAGAAACACGTTTTTGTTTGGGAAACTGTTTCCAACTGCAGCTCCATAAGGAAAACGGTCCCGTGAAACGGGTGTTGTGATTTGTATCTTTGCGTGTGTTGTGGCCACTGAAAGAATTTTCAAACCTAAATTTGCTCTTTGTTATTTTTACACTTTATTTTACACTACTCTGTGCTCAGACAGTTTAAAGCTGGAGAGAATTCATAGCAGTAGATTTCATTTTATGTGTTTCCTCGATGGCTGCATTTCCAAGGTTATGGTACGGAGCGGCTTGAAAACAAAATTCCATACCAGGAAAAAAACAAGTTGTGGCTCTTGCTTCAATTTCTTATCAGCTCCCTGGGAAAATGTAAGCAGTTTAATTAGAGAGAAATGAAGTCTTGTTGCCTTGATGAGACCTGATGCCTCGGAGCAGGGGAGTCCCCACTAGATGGTGCACGGCACCGCGCTCGGATCTGGGATCCTGCAGCCAGAAGTGGGTCCGGCCTCCCGGGCAACCCAAACCCTGAATTGGGTGTCGGAGAGCTGAAAATGGAGATGGAAAAGCCACTCTGCCCACAACACAAGGCTCGCCTTGGAAGTTTGAATTTGCCTACTGGCTTCTTTGCCGCTGATCAAAGCCGCTTTTCAAAGTGCAGACACTGTGTACAAACATATCATGGCGGGTCCTATGTTTGCTTCCTCTGGATGATTTTTGCAGCATTGGCTGGAGTCGAACGCAACAGATTTGTCAGTGGAAAAGAACAAATGGATCTTTGGGAGGGTGTGTGTGAGAGCAGAATGGCAAAGCCTTTTTATCAGTTCTTCCCTTTCTTCCCAGCACGGGCAGAGCCGTGCCCTCTATTTTTTCGGTTTCGCTGTAAAGTCCCTGCTTTGGAAGTTCAGATGCTTCTGGTTGTGCAGGGTAAAAGGGAGGCAGCTTTTCCTCGCCTGGTGAGCAGTCTCTGCCCTGCTTCTTGGCACGGCATCTCCCCACACGAGAGAGCTTCCCCCCAAAATGCACCCAGATGGAGCTGTGTTTTCCGGAGCGTGCGCTCTTGGATTCGCCCCTTCTTGGATTCACTGCTCAAAGGTTCAAACAAACAAAACGGCGGTATGAAACTGGCAGTTTGAGCACTCTTTTTCCAAGAGCTTTGGAAAAATTATAGAACCCCTTGCCTTTTCCAAAGCGCTGGGCAACAGCAGTGCCTGTTTACGAGTGCTGAGTCTTTCATTCATAAACCCCGACGCGGTTTGCAGCCGGAGCTGAAGGGCTCCGACAGGATGGGGCTGGGAGGAGAGGAGGTCTCTGGGGTGAAACCAGTCGGTGGTAACGCCGAAGGGGAAATCTAGACCCCTTCCTCCCTCCTGACAATGGCTGTGTGCTGGGGTTTTTCCTGTTCTGTTTTACTAGTGAGTTTTCCTTTGCTGCAGATCGGTACGCAGAACAGCCTGGAGATCCTGGAAGATCCGAAAGCCGAGGTTGTGGACGAGATCGCTGCAAAGCTGGGACTGAGAAAGGTTAGGATGTTGTCAGATCTCGTGCCTCTTTCTTTGGCGATGAAGAAAAGTCGTCGGCGGTTCTCGTCAGCTCCACGGGGTTATTTGGGCCCGTTTGGGTGTGCCTAAAATCTGGCTTAAGTGTCGGGAGCTCTTAGGCTTTTAGGTATGAAAAACAAAACGGGAGCGTTTTCCTGAGCACGAGCATCTCGCAGGGCTGTGCAGCTGAAGTCAGCAGTCCTCTGTCATGAACGACATCAAAGGGAGTAGCAAAGAAGCAGAAACACAATTTTCCCTTTATTTCTCCTCAGATAAGAGCCGTTCCTGGTAGCATCTCCCCGTCGAGTGCTAATTTGGCGCAGATGTAGCTGGAGTTGCCTCCCGAGTTTGTTCTTCATTTTGACAGAATTGGTGCTCCAATTTCAGGAGCGGAGGCTCCTGCTTGTTTTTTTTTATTCTCCTCTGGGGGGTCCTGTCTCTCGGTGCTGCTCAGGCAACCGGCCAGTTCATCTATACGTGCCTTTAGAGGTGGCCAGTCCCCCAGTAGCCGAGCCCCTGTCCTCTCCTGCCCCATCAGGACCTGTGGGCGTTGGGATCCGCTGGTTCCCTGACGTCTCTCAAACCTGTGCCGATTATTTTTCCGGTTAGGGAAATCTTTTGGTTTGTGTGAATGCCAGGAATGAGACGTACACAAACAAGATTTGACTTGCTAACGAAAACACAAATCAGAAAAGGCTCAGCACAGTAGACTGTAAACATCTGTGGTGAGGGCTTTTTGTTCTCCAAAGATAAGATCTTCTGCCTTTTGCCAGTGTCTGAAGCAAAGCTTCTGCGTGTGTGTGTGTGTTATTTATTTCCCTGCTTTTCCTCTGCTTCTCTTTTTGCCAGTGTCTGAAGCAAAGCTTCTGTGTGTGTGTGTTATTTATTTCCCTGCTTTTCCTCTGCTTCTCACATCAGATATTTTTAATCAATGGGACTTAACACGTTAACCCACTGCTGGTTGTGGATTTTTTTGCCTGTCTGGGCTCTGCTGGGAGCCTGGATGAGCTGGTTCCTCCTCGGAAGGGTTAATTCTGGGGGAGCTCCTGGCTGTTGGCAGCACGTGTGTGCGGCCGGGTTCACGCAGCGGTGTGTGTGTACACATCCCCACTCCTGTGTGCAAACACCGCGAGGAGAGCTGGAATGTGGGGTTTTTTTGGATGGGAGCAGGCTCCGATTTGGAATGAATCATACTCCGGTGGGAACATATGAGCTTTATCTTAACCAGCGAGCTTCAAAATGAGATCATGTGAGCTGCTTTGTCATCTGCTGGCGCTGCCCCTCCTGCCCCGCTCTCCCCGCTCAATAGGAAATGCTTTTTTTTGCTGTGGGTGGGAGGAGGTAGCGGCTGAGAGGCCTCTTGCAGCCTCCAGATCTTTCCATGAAAAAAAAAAAAAAAAAAAAAAAAAAAAAAAAAAAAAAAAAAAAAGAAAAAAAAAAAAAAAAAAAAAAAAAAAAAAAAAAAAAAAAGAAAATATTCCATAGTGAAACATAAAGCTGCAGGTGCCCCCGGCCGGCCAGCTGGCAAGGCTGCTCCTGGAAATCGGATTCAAATGAGCCCGGCACAGCTGGGAGAGCCATTTCCTTCAGGCAGCGTACAGCAGGGCCGCATGAGCAGCCAAGAACATCTTGTCCTGCTAGGAGAAATGTATAAGCTCTCTTCTGGTTTGGGGTTTGGGTTTGTTCTTTTGGTTGTGTGTGTTTTTTTTTTTTTTTTTAAATTTTCTTTTTTTTTTTGTCTTAAAGCGACTCTCTCTCCGTAACACTTCTTTATAGGTTGGCTGGATATTTACGGATCTGGTCTCTGAAGACACACGGAAAGGGACTGTTCGATACAGCAGAAACAAGGTGAGATTCAAGTGTGTGGCTGGTTCCAGCAGCTGGTGCCAGGGGGTTTGTGTCACCGTGCCAAGCAGAGCACGGAGCCAGGGCTGGAGGTGACGCCGGGACTGGAATTCTTGGGACATGTGGGTTTTTCAGAAGCTTCTACGCAAAAAGGAGTTCGAACTTGGGGTTTGAAGCTGCCCCCAGTCCTTCACCCCCTCTGCTTTTCAGAAAATGCTGCTTGGGATTGAAGGGAATTTGGCGGAGTGGAGGGAAACGGGGTGGTGTGAGGGGCAAACCCTGTGAGCAAAAGTGACTCAGCCAGAGGATGTTCCAATGGGCTGGGCTTGCTGAGGTGTACGTGGCTCAGACTCTGACCTTCGCAGCTTCCTGTAAGTCTAAAATCAATGATATCCCTATTTGGAAAATGAAACCCTGTTTAAAAAAAAAATTAAAAAAAAATGAAGGTGTGTAAAAGTGGGTGGAACTAGGAGCGGGATAGTCCTCGTGGTGAGAGCCAGGCTCAGGGCTGGAGAGCTGACATGTCACATTCTTTCCCCAGTTTCTGCAGCAACATTCTACGAAAGCGTGTTTTACTGGGGTGTTGGTAGTTTTCTTTGGCTGCAGACCAAGGAAATAGGTCTGGGCTACAGCACATTGTCCTTTTTTTTTTTTTTTTTTTTTTTTTTTATTGACATCTCTGCTCTTCCCTCAGGACACGTATTATCTCAGTGCAGAAGAGTGCATCACAGCTGGGAACTTTCAGAACCAGCACCCCAACATCTGTCGCCTTTCTCCAGATGGTCATTTTGGATCCAAGTTTGTCACAGTTGTGGCTACAGGTATAAACTGGCCTCGGCTTGTCCCAGCCCTCTTGGTTACACATGAGTTATCTCTTGTTAATAGAAGAAGAATACGCAGCTCTGCCAGAAGAAGTCAGACATCCTGGTCCCCATCTGTCCTATTTAACGAGGGGTTTGCTTTGCTCTATCAAGTAAAATACTTCTTCATTCTTTGTGCTGTCTTCTGCACAATTATTTACCCTGGCCCCTGCAGGAAACTTAATTGGGGCTCAGACCTGGAGCATCCACCTCTCTGATCCGGAAAGCAATTTTTTTGCCCGTAGCCAGGGGGGGAAAAAAAAACGTTGCTCCCTTTTCTGTTTCCAATCTTTAAGCTCCAAATCCTGTTGCCTGAAAGCGGCAGTGCAGAACCACAGCAATCCACATCCTGAGAGCTCCTCTGGCTGGTTCAGCATAAAGGAGGGACCTTTATCTCCCTTGTGTGGCTGTCAGGGAAACCCTTACGTAGGATGTTGTGCTCTTCCGGGCATGGAAACACATATTATTATTAATTATTATTTTGTTTGCCTGAATAAAACAGAGGAGCCTGTAAAACGCTTTGGCTTCGTCACCTCTGATTTTAGGCGGTTTTGCAGCAATTCTGTAGAGGGGCTGGGGGATGGTCAGTGCTGCCCAGGCTGCGAGGGGAGATGTTGGTGTGAGCTGGGAGAGCTGGAGAGCTGTGCTGGTAGAAGTTCAAGGCTCAGCTCTCCACAGGATGACACGTGTGTTCGTTTAAAATTTCCCTGGAGCAGATACGCTGGGTTCTGGGTCTATTTAACACAACGAGAGAAAAAAAAAAAAATGCTGGGAGAGCTGGAGAGTTGTGCTGGTAGAAGTTCAAGGCTCAGCTCTCCACAGGATGACACGTGTGTTCGTTTAAAATTTCCCTGGAGCAGATACGCTGGGTTCTGGGTCTATTTAACACAACGAGAGAAAAAAAAAAAACAACCCAAAACCAAAACCCACGACTTCCAAATAGCATTCAACATAAAAACTGAAAGTGTGATATTATACTCCCTCCTCTGAGCCCAGGTTTTGTAAGTGTTCCCGGAGCCTTTTTCTTTTTTTTTCAGCGAAAACACTCTCTTTCAGTTAACAGGCCCGTGCAATCAGACAGCTGCCTGCACATTCCAGACTGCTAAACGCATCCATCTTTCATTAAAGATAGATGTGTATCTCGCTTGCTCTTTTTTTTTTTTCTTTTTACTTTTATTTCTTTTCTCTTTTTCGTTTTAAAACAAGGTGTTTTATCGAGAAAATGATGGCTTGCTGCTTTTTTCAGGCCTTCCCCATGTCTTGGTCTATGTTTAATTTCTAGGAGTGTTTGTTCTGGAGCAGTGAGTGATTGAGGTTAGAGATCAAAGAGTAGAAAACGAATATTTCCTCTTTTCTGTTCCAGATAATTTCATTCTCTTCTGTTAAATCAGCCCATCAGGTTTCTATTTAAACACTTGATTCCTTCCTTTTGTGCCATATAAATATATTTGGATAGTTTGCATCAACTTTGCCTTTAAATCCTCTGCATGGATTAATTCCTATCCCCTCTTGAATTCCTACGTTTGGAAATAGTAACGTTTTCCTACCATCTGTCTGTATCTTCTCTTTCCAGTTGTATTCTAATGACACATGACCTGATGTTGCTTACATTATCCAAATTAAAGCGCCAAGCATGTGATCTACCCGTGAGCCAGGCTCTTAATTTCCACTTTCCATGTCAGATTTCCACCCAGCCATCCATTTCGGGCTGAGAAAACACTTTTTCTTCTTGTGCCTGACGTTACTGGGTGACCAGCCCTGAATCCTCATGGACTGGAACGGGCTCACTGGAGCTGTGTGTGCCCCGTTTTTGGTTTGAAGGAGAGAAGATACTCGCAGGGTAGTGGGGGGTGATGCCATCAGGAGCCGACCGAAAGGGCAGCTTCACCTCTAAGTTCCTGGTAGAACACTCGTGCTGTCACTCCGGGGGTCTGCCCTCTTAGATAAGCTGTGAAAATGTGTTTTAATAATGAAAAGTAGAGCTTAGAGGAGATTCTTGCCTAGAAGTACTTCCCATGTGGTGGTATCATCTCGCCATTCTTCGCTCTTAGCAAGACCGTCATGTTTCACGTTGCTCTTTTGAGTCGTTCCTCTCTGGGTTTCGCCGGGCAAATCCCCCTCCTCTGGGATTGTTTTAACCAGCCTTTTTCTTTTCCAGGTGGTCCCGACAACCAGGTCCACTTTGAGGGCTACCAGGTCTCAAATCAGTGCATGGCACTGGTCCGGGACGAGTGTTTGCTGCCCTGTCGGGACGCCCCCGAGCTGGGCTACGCCAAGGAGTCCAGCAGCGAGCAGTACGTGCCTGACGTCTTCTATAAGGTAAGAGCTGCCTGTCTGTGGGTGCTGGGAGCTGCACAAACGGCTCTGCTGCGTGTCTGGAAACCAGTATGGCCAGCTCAGGAAAGGATGTCTTTGAGGTCTGAACTATTTTCAGTAGGAACCGTTCGCCACATGTCCGCAAAGTAATTGCATAAGCTCCAGTTCCCCCTCGTAAACGTGCCACGATGGCTTCCAGTGCAGTGGTAGCCACTGGCCATCCAGCTTCCAGCCACCAAGATGCTCCGAATTCACCTCCTCTCCCCTATTTATTGGCTGTATTTGCCACGCTTCTCTCTTGATTTTAATCCCCAGCCGAGGATGGGGGTAGTGGTAGATAGTAAACTCTCCATGCGCATCCAGCTTCCAGCCACCAAGATGCTCCGAATTCACCTCCTCTCCCCTATTTATTGGCTGTATTTGCCACGCTTCTCTCTTGATTTTAATCCCCAGCCGAGGATGGGGGTAGTGGTAGATAGTAAACTCTCCATGCGCCAGCAGTGGGCCCTTATGGCCAAGAGGCCAATGGGATCTTGGGCTGCGTAGGGAAGAGTGTGGCCAGGAGGTTGAGGGAGGTCATTCTCCCCTTCTGGTCTGCACTGGTGAGGCCACAACTGGAATCCTGTGTCCAGTTCTGGGCTCCCCGGTTCAAGAGAGACAGGGAACTGCTGGAGAGAGTCCAGCGTAGGGCAACAGAGATGATGGAGGGATTGGAGCACCTCCCTGATGAGGAAAGGCTGAGAGAGCCAGGACTCTGTAGCCTGGAGAAGAGAAGGCTGAGGGGAGACCTTCTTAATGCTGACAAGGATCTAAAGGGTGGGTTGAAGGAGGATGGAGCCAGACTCTTCTCAGTGGTTCCCAGTGACAGGATGAGGGGGAACGGGCACAAGCTGGACCATGGGAAGTTCCACTCCAATGTGAGGAAGAACTTCTTTGGGGTGAGGGTGGCAGAGCCCTGGAACAGGCTGCCCAGGGAGGGTGTGGAGTCCCCTTCTCTGGAGATCTTCAAGCCCCACCTGGATGCTCGTGAGTGATGTGCTCTGGGCAGCCCTGCTTTGGCAGGGGGGTTGGACTGGAGGGTCTCTAGAGGTCCCTTCCAACTCCAACAATTCCGTGAGTCCATGAGTTCAGGCTCCTCCGCTGCACAGCCGTACGATGGGTGCGAGCGGCAGGTTCCTTCTGCGGTGCCAGGGATGGATTCTCTCCTGGATGACACACGGGCAGCAACCGGGCAGCAGTTGGAACAAAACCCAGTATAGTTTGTGGAGCAAGAGTAGAGATGGTCCTGTGCATGCTTCTCTGCAAGAAAAGGAAGGTGGAAGGCTCTGGGAGCCGGGGCAGGGCTGGGGTGTGCTCCTGGCTTTACCTTTTAGTGCTGGGGTTGCTGCCTGTGCCCAGGTCCCATGCTCAGGTTGGACAGCAAACTCCAAAAAACTGGTCCTGAGGAGCAGCAAGGGGCATGTGCATCTAGAGCGGATCCAAAATACTCTTATTTGAGGTATCATGTAAGAGTGCTGCTGGTGACCCATCCAGGGCAGGTTCTGGTACAGCTGTAGTGATGAATGGACTGTCGTTATTCCCTCGACACTTGTTTCTGGAGATTTTCAGCCCCCCCTGTATCAACCCCCCGATATTAGAAACTGGGGGACGGGATCTCTGCGGAGGCTAATAGTGCTGCTTCTCAAACCCGTGTACCTTGGTGCCCCGTGAGCCGAGGACAGAGGGATTAATTAATGGCGCCGCTCGCCAACTAATTAGCCATCCATCACCCGAGTTAGTTATCTCATTCCTGTCTGGGTCTGACACTCACCGCTCCTGCTGCCTCTGTTAAACCTGTCCGTTAAGGAGCGTAGGAGAAGCAAAGCCACCTTCGTTTGGGACAACTTGTGTCAAAATCGTGTCAAAATGCTCTTTTATGCCCTGAACCAAGACTGGGATGTGCTGGCCTGGCTTGACCAACCCACAGGACTCCAGCTTCTCCTTCCATCCCTTCAACCTCAACTCCTGCCTTGTCTTGACGCCACCTGAAGGCGAGGAACACCTGGTGGCTAAATTCAGCGCTGGAGAGGAAAGGTGGATGGAAATGTGTGTTCTCTTCCCTCAGCAGGCAGACAGCTCGCTCTCGGGAGCTGATAATCCAGGTCGGATTGAGATACAGCGGAGCTCCATTGTGCAAGGGTTGGCCCCAAACACGAGGATGAGCTCATCTCCTGGCGTGCCACGGTCCTGCTCCGGAGGAGCCCCGTGCTGTGCCGCGGTCGGGGTGCAGCCTCACAGGAGGTCCCCCTAGGTCTGTGTCCCACATGTGGGCCACCCGGGGTGGCTCGGAGTCGCAGGAAGCTGGTGGGTGTTCCCAGAAGGTCTTCACTCCCCTTCGTAATCCGAAGCGGGGAGATAAACAAAACGCTAAGGGATGGCTCCAGCCTCCCGTGGAAATTTCCATCAACCACTGATTCACTGGGTCGGGCTGCAGCTTATTTCATATGTTTTATAACTTCTACCCCCTAATTGCCTTTTTCGTGGTGTGCTTAAGGAAGGCTTGAGGACTGCTCTGGCGGGTGTAATTGTCCTTCAGCCTCAAACGTGTTTGGCTGTCGGATCCCTTCGTTTTTTTGGAATGTTCTTAAATCAATGGAAAGCTTAGTCACTGCCGGCTCTGAAAACCTTCGGGGTCTCATTAAATGCGCGAGGCTTGAGGTCAGAGACACTACCTCATAGTTACTGGGTTGGTGACAACAATGGTGTCAAAGCCTTGGTTCAGTGCAGGATGAGGAGTCCAGCTCTTGGGCTGGCGGCTGCTTCAGGGTCCAGCTCCCTGCTCCCCCTTTTCTCCCCAAAACTGCAGGAGCCACGCAGCTTTCTCCCCAGTCCTTGATGCAGGGGTTCCCCTCTGTGCTCTGTGTGTGTCCCCCCCCCAGCTAACTTTGGGAAGAAAGCTGTGCTTTTGAGTAGTTGCTGCATTTTGTCTCAGACAGAGGACTTATCGCTGGTAGAGAGAAAAATCCTTATGTATTTTTCTGTGTAAAGTGCGAGTGTTCATTTGAAAAGCCCTTTAGGATGAAAGGAGCTCTACAAATTTATTCTAATTGGACGAGGACCAGAAAGGCCGGTGTTTGTGTGGCGTGGATGTATTTATAGAACAGCTCTGCATCCAGATGCGAGGCAGAATCCCTTGGAAGTCTCCTATCTGTCTGCAGCAGGGGAAGGCAGCGGATTCACCTTCGGCTCCGCGAGCAGGGGAAGGTGCTGCCGGTGGTGTCTCCAGCCAAGTGTGACCAACAACTGCTCTTCAGTCACGGTGTTCAGAGAGGGTGTCTCCTACCCCTGCTCGCAGCCAGCACTGTTATTCCAGGGGTGGCTGTTGGGAAGTGCAGCTGGATGGATAATTCCACAGGCCAGGAGGGCTGTGAGGACCCACGCTGCAGCCTCGGGGACTTTACTGCAGCGAGGAGGTGCTGGTGAAGAAAGGAATGGCCAGTTTTGGTCAGCAAACCTTTTTTTCCATGGTTTGCACCACGTTCGGTGTTGGTGGGGTCGGAGCAGGGGCCACCACGTCCCCTGGGGCTGCAGCTGGTCCTGCCTGAGCGTGACTCACCTCCGTGGTGCGTTACAGACGGGCTTTTCTTCCATGGAAATAGGAAAACTGATGGCACCGCCGTTGTCCGGCCTCGGGAGGTTGAGGCGTTTTTCCTCAGCCTCCAGCCTTGTGATTTCTGTATTTCTTTACCATTCTCTTTATGTTGGCCACTAGCCCTGCGGCTTAGAGGAACCACCCCAGTGGAATTGGCAGTACGCGCTTTCTACACGCGGCCGTTGCTTTCCTGGCCTGGGAAGGTTGGAGTTGTGCTCTAGCGTGAAAGTCGAGGGCTTTGGGGGACTGCGAGTACAAGTTGCTTTGCTCTGAGGTTCCTCTCCAGGTAAAATTAGCCAGGAAGGAAGAAAACATCCCCCTTCCCCTCCTGGGTTGTCTGCGGAGCGTCACGGCTCGGCGCCGTTTCCAGTTGGAAGGTTGCACAACCAGCACACGCTTCTTGGCCAGTTGAGTGCAACAAAACTCATGAAGGAATGGCTCTTGTCAAGACACAGGCGCCCAAATCGGGGTAAAACCGCTCGCTTTGTGAGCAAAGATGATGTGGCGACGGCCGTGTCACCCCGTTTCTCAGCCGGGTGAGGGGGACCCAGCTGGGTGTTAAACCTGCTCACTTTGTGAGCAAAGATGATGATGTGGAAACAGCTGCTTCACCCCGTTTCTCAGCCGGGTGAGGGGGACCCAGCTGGGTGTTAAACCTGGGCGTTCTCTGTTCCCTGCCTTCTGCCCTCCAGCAGCCGCCTCCTTCATCCATCTGGCTCTAGAAAATACCCGTGTTGATTTTGACGTCGCTAAGGATGTATCTTCCAAACCGTGGGGTGATTTATTCCGAGCTGAAGTTGCTTGTAGGTGCCCCAGCCAGCTGCGATCCCTCCCCGTGGGCTCCTGCCCCCCGAATCTCCCGTGTCCCCCTGCTCTCAGCTCCCTGCGGTCGATCTGCTGAGCCCAGTGCCCTGGTGTTGTCTCCCTACTCCCCACAGACCCGTCTGCTCTGGCTTCATGGGCATCTCAACCCCCCAGCTTATGGGGGAAAGAGATTACTGGGTTTTACAGACCCTTTGAAACACGTGAATAATTGGATTTGGGGACTGGGTGGCTTTGTCTCTTATCACAGGTGTTTGTCTCTGCTCAGTGCAAACACGGAGATGGCATCCTCGCTGTGAACTACCTTTTACAGCTGCCTTAATGTTCCCCTGAGTTTCTGTGGGATGGTGTAAGATGAAAGCCCTTCGTGATGGCACTGGCATCATGAAAGAGCCCTTTGTCCCCATCGAGTGTGGCCCTGGGGGAGCCCTGTGATTCGAGCCGAAGGGGACTTACCTCTGAGCCAGGCTGTCCCCACTGTCACGTGTGTCGCTTCCTCCCCTTCGTTCTGAAATCCCTTTTCTTGGGAAAAACTTGGGGGGGAGTTTGCACCAGCAGCGAAGGACTTCCCCTGCCTGGCCTCCTACCAAGGGTTTTTGCTTTGGGCTGGAAAAGCCGCCTTTAGCCTTAAATGTCCCAGCTGCTCTGGGGAGGAGGATGCTTGATTAGCTCCTGAGGAGTCTCCAGAGAAGGGTTTCAACTCTCACTGACCTATTGCTCTTGGAAAAGTCGCTTTGGTTCTGCGTGTTGGCCACTCTATCCATGTGAGGGGGGCAGGACCGCCTGGCAAAGCTCCTGGAAATCGGCAGAGGGAAGAGCAAGACCGGGCTTTATTACACCCGGGAAGGACAGAGGAGAGACACTCCCAGCTCCACAGTGAGAGCAAACCTGTGGGGGTGGCCGATGGCATGGGATGCTGAGGGCTGTCCGGCCCTAGGACGTGGACCAGGAGCATCCCTCCTGGCTGGCAGCCACTGGGGCTTGCTCCCCTCGGATGGAAATCCCAAAGCCACCCAGAAGCTTTTCCCATCCCTGCGACATGCTCTCTCCTATCCTTTTTCCTGCTCCACCTCCTCCCTTTGCCTCCCGACAGCGGGTCCGAGAGGCTCTAATCGGGTCCGAGAGGCTCTAATCGCCGCCCCTGATGCGATCTCCAGTTTGTCTTGGGGATGATTCATCCTCCAAACCCTCCAGGTCTCGATGCTTGATGTTTGTCCAGGAGCCAAATACTTGCGCCCTCGTTAACCCCTTCCTGGCCCCCCCCCCTCCTGCCTTTAGGGGGTCTCAGGCTCCGGGGCTGCAGCAATAACGTGCCGAGAGGCGCTGCCGGGGCCCTGGCTGCTGCCAAGTTCAGGATGAAGATGTTTTTCTCCCAGTTTGACGTTTGTTAAGGCCTTTAAAACATAATCGCCCAATAAAATGGTGCGAGGGGGTTGGAGAAGAGTGCTGGGGTGGGGGAAGAGGGGCTTTTCTCTCTGGGGGGAGCAGGGTCGGGACGTGTCCATGAGGTTCCAGTTTGGTGCTAACAAACAGCCTCCTGCACGTCTCGAAGGCCTCGGCAGCGTGACATGAAAAAGAAGGCATTTAACGTGGAAATCCCCAGAGGCGGAGATTAAAGCGAACAGGTGCTGGAAAAATGTTTCTGCATATTAGAACTTAATTAGATTTGAAAATGAATTCCAGATGGGCTAATTATGCGTTGAGTTGTTGCAGGTTGGTTCTTGCAGGGGCAGGATTGCGTCGGGGAAGCCGATTCGGTCTGATTGGATTTGATTCCTGACTCGGGCGGTATCGCCGAGATCTAGAAGCAGGTTTAGCTTTTCAGGGCCTGTGATCTCCCTGAAAAGGCTCCGCGTCTCCTCCTGCTCCTGTCAGAGCCAGAGAGAGATCTGAGGCCACGAGCCACCAGGCTCATTGCTGAAATCACCACAGGGCCAACAACCTGTCATGTTCAAGGAGGAAAGATCCTTATCGGAATTGCTTTTAAAAGGCGCTTCAAAGACTGGAAGGTAGATTTTTTTTTTTATTTTTTTTTTTTTAATTTTTTTTGTAGAACGGGCAGGGTTCCTGGGGCTGGGGGGATGCTTGGGGAGGGGGCTGTGCCCGCGGGGGGAGCAGCGTGCCGCAGCCTGCCGGGGTGGCTGTGCCGGGCGAGCGGAGCGTGAGAGCGGGCTGCTGGCTGCCACGCCGCATATTTCTGCTGTGTAAATACTAGAGTAACCCAGAAATGCTGATAAGCGGGGGAGTGGCGTGCTCTGGGGGAGAAAACAGGGCTGGGGAGAGGAGGAGGAGGAGGAGGGTGTCAGCCCCGGGGACCTCATCCCTGTGCTCCATCCCGGGGATGCCCCTCACCAGAGCTCCCCCAAACCCGTCGGGGTGACGCGGTGACGGCTCGGCTCCGGGGCCGCCTCCAGCCACTGGGACTTGTGTGAGCTCAGTAAATGTAAACTTTAATGGAAGGTCCCTGATTGGAAATTATGGGGCGGATGATTTATACGGGGCTCGATGAATGATTTATAACATGTTAAATGATGATTTAGGTAGAAAATACAACCCCCTCTTACAGAATCTTTAATGAAAAGTGTCAGTTCTCATGAATTTATTTCTGAAGCTGTGTTTGAACTCGGCATGTTTGACATAAATCACGTCTAATTGTCATTTTATGATTAATGAACATATGCTGGCCGTTTTTCTCCATAATTAAACTTTATGTTCAATTCGTCTGGCAAAGCCAAACAAGTTTACGCGTTGTGATGTGCTGGCTCTTCAGGTCTAGTGTATGAGAAAGTGCCTGGATTTCCAATTCCCAAGCCAGAGCTGGATGAGAGACTCGTGGCCGGTTTTGCAGAAAGTCAGGTTTGCCTTGGCTGGGGAAGCAGATGTGGCCCCGTCCCTCCCTTTTTAGACAAAACTGCTCCTTAAATGGCATTTATGCTGCTTGGATAATGCCGGGCAGCTCCGACTGAGGCAAATAAGACTGAGGTGGCTTGTGACGACGAGGAAACAGAGGTGCTGGTGTATGAGAGGGCATGGGGCAGCTTGGCAGCACCTGGCCACGTACCAGCAGGTTCTTTCCTCTGCCCTTAGAGATCTGTTGGAGCTGAGGATCCTCAGGATCCTGCACGGGTGTCTCCGGGGCAGGATCCCGTAGGGCTTTGCTCTTGCTACCCCACTGAATAATAACAACACTCTTCTTTTTTTCAGGACATAGACAAGTTTGGCAACGAGATCACACAGCTGGCTCGCCCGCTCCCGGTTGAGTACCTAATCATAGATGTGAGTATTCCTTGCACTTGTCTGCGGGAGGTGGTCAGGGCGGAGTGAGGTTCTTCTCTCACCTCTGAAATTCCCGTCGGAGGTGATTCACAGGGCAGATTTTCCTTCTTTCTCCTCCCTCTGTTGCCAGGCATCTCTAGTGCAGAGGTTGGTGTGGCTCTGGGGTCACTGCAGTGCTCCTGGAGGAACTCAACGTGAGCTGGCAAGGTGTGGTGGCAGCCCAGAAAGTTCCTCCTCCTGCAGTCTGGGCTACATCCCCAGCAGCGTGGCCAGCAGGGTGAGGAGGGGGGATTCTGCCCCTCTGCTCCCCTCTGGGGAGACACCCCTGCCAGTGCTGGGTGTCCCCAACATCAGAAGGACACGGACTGGTTGGAGTGGGGCCAGAGGAGGCCACAGAGATGCTGGGAGGGCTGGAGCCCCTCTGCTGGGAGAACAGGCTGAGAGAGTTGGGGGGGTTCATCCTGGAGAAGAGAAGGCTCCAGGGAGACCTTAGAAGCCCTTCCAGTCCCTAAAGGGGCTCCAGGAGAGATGGGGAGGGACTCTGGATCAGGGAGGGGAGCCATAGGACGAGGGGAAATGGTTTTAACCTGAAAGAGGGGAGATTTAATGAGATTTTAGGAAGGACTTCTTTGCTGTGAGGGTGGTGAGACACTGGAAGAGGTTGCCCAGAGAAGCTGTGGCTGCCCCATCCCTGGAGGGGTTCAAGGCCAGGTTGGAGGGGGCTCGGAGCAACCTGGGCTGGTGGGAGGTGTCCCTGCCCAGGGCAGGGGGTGGCACCGGATGATCTTCCCCCCTGAACCATTCTGTGACTCTGTTCTGTGACTCTGTGATCGCTCTGGTGCCAGGGAACTCGCTGGGAAAGCGCTGCCTGTGCCTTATCGTGGCTCCGAGCTGGCACGTGGCCACGCAGCGGGGGAAGCCGCCAGCCCCACGGATACATGTGCCGGGCACTACCTCACGGGGAGCTAATTAGGGAGCTCCAGTTGTCTGTCTCTTAGCAGCAATTAAGAACCCAGCTCCTTTTAGTGACTCAGCAGCCCAGGTTTGTTGCACAGAAATGCCTTTTCTTGGGGGGGGGAGGAGGGAGCTGAGGCTGCAGCTTGGCCAGAGCAGGGCTGTTCCTGCCCCCGAGCGAGCGCTGCCAGGCACCGGGGCACGGCTCTGCCCTTTGGCTGGAAAGGAAACTATTACAGGGTGGAAGGCAGGAAAGCAAATAACTGGGATGACAGATGATATTGCTGGAGTTAGAGGTGGTGCCAATAACGATTAAATCCATCCCGGAGCAACTGGGGCTGGTCCAGCTGCCCCTGGCACGGGCTGGCAACCAGTAGGCTTCCCCTGGCTCGTCCTTCCTCCCCTTTTTTTCTGTCTGCTGTGTGTATTTCTTATCAGAACGGCACCCCAGGCTGTGGCTGGGACGTGTGACACGCACAGAGGAATGTCCTGTGGGGAACAAGGGGGCCCGTTGTGCGGGGCCCTCGGCCGCCCCGTGCCCAGTCGGCAGCGCTGCAGCGTATTTATTACTCCAGGAGTAAATGCTTCTGCTTCTGGGCTACCTGGGGTGTAATTAAGAGGGAAACAGATTGATGGAACACGCATTTGGGAGCAGGCTGGAAAGCTGCATTTCTGAAAAATTGTGTTTTGTCTCCTAAAGGGGAAAAAAAAAAAAAAAAAGAGGCATTATTCCAGTGAATACTGTCCTGGCAGATATTTCTGCATCTCTCCTCACAAAGGGCCTCGCCGACAGGTCCCAGCAGTCAGTAACTGATACCAAAGCTTTCAAACCCCCAGAATCAGGACTGGTTTAAATGTCAGGAGCTGGCCCAAACACCAGCTGGTGAGCTCAGTACTGTGGGCACGATGCCACGTTGCCCCGTTCCCCGTCCCTTTGGCACCGAGTGCAGGGAGGAGGCAGAGTGAGGGCACCCAGAGCACGGGGTGACTCTCTTTGATGAAGTTAAAGGGGGTTTCTTGGCACTCATTCCAGCCCCCAGTGGAGTGGCATGGTCCCCGGGCTACACCATGGCCAGGCACGGTGGTCACACTCTCCCCTGTCCCCCCCCAGAATTAAGGTGACCCCCCCAGCAGGAGATCCCTGGCACGGGACCGAGCTCAGGACATCTCCCTCCAGCTTCGTTAGCAATGATTGCCAGGAGTGAAGGGGTGCACTGATTGGAATTTTGCTTTAAATGTGCTGATTGGATATAATATCCAGATAGGACAAGGGGTAATGGTTTTAAACTGGAAGAGGGGAGATTTAGATTAGATACTAGAAAGAAATTCTTTACAGTGAGGGTGGTGAGAGCCTGGCCCAGGTTGCCCAGGGAGGGCGTGGCGGCCCCATCCCTGGAGGGGTTCAAGGCCAGGCTGGAGGGGGCTTGGAGCAACCTGGGCTGGTGGGAGGTGTCCCTGCCCAGGGCAGGGGGGTTGGAACTAGATGATCTTTAAGGTCCCTTCCAACCCAAACCATTCTATGGTTCTATGAGTCTATGAATATCACTTTAACCATTACAAGCCATCCAGAGATCCCTGCTGTATTTCCTTGCTCTCTTCCTGGCAGAGCTCTGACGTGCCTCTGGCTGCTCTGGGCCATCAGGAACCTTCTTCCCGTCACCCCACTTGCCCTTCCCCGCTGTCAGCCCTCTGACGGTCTTTCCTTGGATTTTTAGATTACTACGACTTTCCCCAAGGATCCGGTCTACACGTTTTCTATTTCTCAGAACCCATTCCCCATCGAGAACCGTGACGTGCTGGGAGAAACTCAGGTGAGGAGTGATTTGTACCAAAGCTGCTTTTAACACAGACCTGTCGCCCGTCTCCCTCGCGCTTATTAATATCTGCCAAGGGACGGCTGCAGTTTTGCCCTTAAATCACCCCTTTCCTGGTTCAGTCCAGTCCCTTCCTGCTCGGAGCAGTGTCTGCGTGTCGGTCGGCTGCTGGACACCCTGCTCCTTGGGAATGGGAGCCCCTTATCTGTGCTGGGGCTGACACCAAGGAGGTTGGGGGGCTCCAGCCCCACAGTGACAGCCGGGTCCCCCTTCTCTCCAGGGTCAAAGGCTTCCTCCAGAAGCCACCAGCAGAGAAGGATCACTGCCCATTGTGGCCCTGTCACAGAGCAGGAGAGGTCAGCTCTTTGGTGACAGCTTTGGTCCTTGCTTCTGAGGGTGCCCAGAGAAAAAGAGGGAGTTGGGGGAGAAGGGGCTGCTTTGTCCTCATCTGTCCCTTTTCCTTAGGGACCGGGGCTGAGCTGAGCTGACTCAGCATCTGCTGGGGCTGGGATCAGCTCTGTGTGCTGGGGTTGTTGAGGGGCTCGGACAGGGGAGCTGGTGTGGGCCCAAAGATCCTTTCCTCTGGAATTTGTTAGCTGCAGCTCCGTCACCCAGTCTGGGATCTGGTTTTGGGAGTCTCAAGAAAGACAGGAATGTTACAGTGTCTGTTGGTGGATGTGAATAGGAAAATGAAGTTACCACGGGAGGGGAAGTGACTTCTCTTTATTTCTTTTCCCCCCCTCGTCTGTAGGACTTCCACAGCTTGGCCACGTACTTGTCCCAAAATACTTCCTCCGTTTTCCTAGACATCATTTCCGATTTCCATCTGCTCCTCTTCCTGGTCACGAACGAGGTGATGCCTCTGCGGGTACGTAACGAGGAGGAAAGGGTCACGTCAGGGCCCTGAGCTCCTCCGGGGTGTCACTCACGTGCTGGAGGTGATGGACCCGACCTGCCACCTCGAGCACGTCCTGATGCTGCTTCTTCCAGGCTGAGCTGTTGGTAAAAGGTTTAAACAGTGAAACCAAAGCCCCCCCCGAGTAGCCCAAGGGCTCTGACGCGCTGCTGGGAGCCATCATTACCCCAGTCACAGACCAGACAGAGCCGACGTGGCTGCAGCTCCGAGAGCTTGAAAACATCTTTTTTCTTTTAAAAAAAAATCTCAGAATCAGAAATTCTTGTCGTAACGATAACGGGATCAGAGCCCCCCTAAATCTCGGCGAGGCCAACGACTTCCTGGCCGTGCAGCTCTGCCTCTTTTGGCCACGTACTGGGGGGATGTTGGGGAGGGGTTTGGGTGGTTGGGGAGGGGGTTGGGGAGGGGGTTGGCAGCCACCCAGCCCCCTGGTTCACATCTGCACCGCCGGACCCTTGGCGGTGGGAGCAGGACGCCAGGGAAAGGGGCCATGTGTTTGCCAGAGGCTCCGAGGGCGCCGAGAACGGCGCATGTGTGGGGCTGACCCTGGGCAGCTGGAGATCAGGCTGGGGGTCTGATCCTGGGGGGTGCCTATGGGATGGGGACAGGCTCCAGGACGGTGGGTTTGCACCCCCGGGAGCCAGGCAGACCCCCGGGGAGCACAGCAGGTGGCTGGTAACTCCTCCATGCAGGGGAAAGGGAAGTGTTGGGGTTTTAGGGCTCTCTCACTGCTGGGGGGAGCAGAAGGGATAAAGCCCATCTTGCTCCCTGTCTGTGAACATCAGTGGGGTGACCCAAAGGGGGGCACCAGCTCAGACTCAGGACTCTGCTGCAGCTGGTGGAGGAGGGCAGGGGGGCACGTCCCGGTCACAGCTCCAGCCGAGGCCCCGGAGCAGTGCCCAGCGCTGATTTTCCCCTCTTATGTTTTCCAGGACAGCATCAGCTTGTTGCTGGAAGCTGTGAGGACCAAGAATGAGGAGCTCGCACAGACCTGGAAGAAATCAGAGCAGTGGGCCACCATCGAGCAGCTCTGCAGTAAGAAAGGGGGTCCCTCTGGGAGGGGGTCCTTTGTCCCTCGTCCCGGGGCTGTGCTGCTGCTCCCAAACCCCCGCGGAGGCTCGGGTGGGAGAAAAGTGGCTCCTTGGTCCCAGGGCTGCAGGGAGTGGGGCTGGGGGGCTGCAAGGGTGGGATCCATAGGGTGCCAGCCTCGGGGGTGAGGGCAGCGTCTCAGTAGGGACCCCCCCTGCCTGGGTTGGGAGGGAGAACTCGCTCTGGGTTTAGGACCTGCCTGTTGCTTGTGTTCTCCCCCTGCTCTGACCCAGCTCTTCCCTTCGCAGGCACGGTGGGTGTCCAGATCTCAGGACTACAGGAGTACGGTGCCATGGGGGGCTCGACGCACGCCGTCTCGGCGGCCATGTGGGCCTGCCAGCACTGCACCTTCATGAACCAACCGGGCACGGACCACTGCGAGATGTGCAGCCTGCCCCGGACCTAGCCACGCCGGCAGAGCAAATACAGAGCAAACCCTCGAGCAGCAAGGAGTGGTGCTTGTCCCTTCCCTGTCCTCCCTTCTGCTTCCCCAACCCCCCCCCACCCCAAAATCAGCTCCACCCCGGGGTGCGGAGCTGAGCAGGGGGTGGCTCCAGCCCCTCCCCACTTACTCCTCGCTCCCCTTTTAGGGGCAGCCCCGTAGTCGCAGCAGGAGCCGGTGGCCCCCGGCTTTATCTTGATGCTGGCCCCCAACCCGGGAAACCAACGCTTAAACCTCAGCCTTCACCCCCCCCCCCGGCACCCCAAAAGTGTTGTCCTGGGTGCGCGCTGGGGACTCGGGGGGGCCGTGGCCAGCCAGGCTCCCTCCCTCCTTGCCCGCTTTGCCTGCCCAAAGCAGCCTCCCGGCACAGCAGAGGTGAGAGAGGGGGGGGATTTGGCACCCCCCCTGCCCGCAGCTTTGCTCCCCTCTCCCTGCCCACCCACTGGGGTGCCCGGGTGGCAGCAGCTTTGGCTCTGAATGGCCCGGGCAGGGCGAGCAGACGCCCGTTACCGGCGCTGGGCCAGACGGCGGCTCCGCCAGGCTGAGCCCCGTGCGCTGGCACGACTCCCGGAGCAGGACCAGTCCCCCCCCAACCTTGGCAACGGGCGAGGGGTGGGCATGTGCCAGCGCTGGGCTTGGCACCGCTCCCGTGGCATGCACGGCACCGAGCTCCCTCTCCCTCCCGCCGCAGAGACGCCGTTTCAGCACCCGACTGGGCACACCGGGGGGGCTGCTGGAGCAGGGGGGGTGTGTGTCCCCCCCTGATGTGCTGTGTCACCACACAGAGGGCAGTTTGGCACCCACCCCCTGCCCACATCCCCCCCGGTGGGGCAGCGCCAGAGCTGGGGGTCACACTGTGCTCTTGCCGCTCTCTCTCCCCTCTGTTAGACCCCAGCGCCAGGGGGGGGCTGCCCCACACTGGGCTGCAGGGGAGGGGGGCAAACCGATGCCCGTGCTGTCCTGGGGGGGCTCAGTGCCCCTCTCGCGGGGCCTCTTGCCCCCTGCCCCGGTGCTGTGGGTTTGGGCCTTCATTCAATCCCCCCCCCAGGGCACTGGTTCCATCACTGCCCCGTGGCCCCCGCCGGTGCCAGGACAGCGTTGTCCCCGCTGTCTGCGGCCGGCCAGCGTGGCAGGGACCCTCTGCGTGCCCCACAGGGTGGGCAGCGTGGTGGGGACTCCCATGCCCCACAGGGTGGGCAGCGTGGTAGGGATCCCCATGCCCCACAGGGTGGGCAGCGTGGTGGGGACCCCCGTGCCCCACAGGGCGGGCAGCGTGGTAGGGACCCCCGTGCCCCACAGGGCGGGCAGCGTGGTAGGGACCCCCATGCCCCACAGGGTGGGCAGCGTGGTAGGGACCCCCATGCCCCACAGGGTGGGCAGTGTGGTAAGGACCCCCATGCCCCATGGCGTCCCCTGCCTGGGCTCTGCCGAAGGCTTTGTCCCACCGGTGTGGCCACCGTGGGGCTCGTGGGTTGCCAGTTTGCTTCCCTCCCCTAATCCCCCCCCGGGTTTGCTGGTGTTTGGGGTGGCAGCGGTGTGCGGTGCCGGGACCGGAGCGAGCCGGGCGCAGGGTCTAGCGAGTAACGTTGAATAAAAAGCACCTGAAAACGAGAGCGCCCGCGTCTCCCGCTCTCTGTTCCCCGGGACGGTGCAGGGGGC